GTGGCTGACTAAATACTTTTTTGCCCCACTGTATTTTGGAGATGTTGTTTATACCTATGATATGAATAAAGTTCATATCAGCACCTTATTGATCTCAGTGGATTCCTTTTTTGAAAGATTGCATCAGACAATGAAAGGTCCGACCTCAGACTCTCAGCAGCTTTTTTTGTTTCCTGAAGTTGCTGATGTCATCATGGGACATCCTCAGAGCAGTCCGACTAAAATATGATTAAATCATGTTTATCTGCATTTCAGCTGTTTCTTTCTTTAGATTATGCACTATATAGCATAATGTCAACATGAAAGGAAAACATAAAACTCCAAAAGGCTAGATTTATGTTAGCTCCGGGAAGTAGCGTAGATCGGTGCACTTCGGGAACAGACGAGTTATAAAACAGGATTTAAATGCTTTTATTTTCTCATTAAATAAATTATAAACCTTTAACACATTATATTTTAGTAGGCTTACTATTTTTGAGGAGGGAAAAACATAATTTAAATCTTTTTAACAAAATAAAATTGAGGGCGACCTGGATGTATATGTAGATGCACAAATGAGCTGATGGCGCATTCGCAGGACGGATCGTCCTTCTGGGACGGATCGGCAAGTGACTGCGTCTAAGAAGGTCAAAGGTCAAAATGGGTCAGTTAGTGATGTAACTCACCGTGCAGCAAGACTGCAGACCCTGTAAGAGGGTCCATCTGATGCCCCACTGGTCCAGCCCTGCCAGGGGGCGGAGCATCAGGTCCATCAGGGGTGTGGTTTAAAGCGGTCATCATTTCAACACCTATGTTCTGCAAATGAAAGTCTAAGTTTTCATCGGACGTTTTTCATGCATCGAACATTTTATCATCTTATCTTTTATCAAAAATATTCCCTCACCTGAGGCTCCAGGATGTCCATTAGATCCCGCCACTGGGTTTCCAGGTCCACATCCAGAACCAGTGGCTGATTTTCAGGGAGGGCGCTGGGGGGCGTGGGCTCAGTGCCAGAGGATTGTTGTTCCCCTTCATCACTTATCTCAACACCATTTATCTAGAGGTCAGGAGAGGAGTGAAAATAAGGGAATTATTTGAGGGGTGGGATTCCCTCTACTTCAGGGGTGGGGCCTTTTCTGAGTGGTTAAAGCAAAGATGCATTTCTGTTGGTCTATTTTTGGGAAGAGTTTGATCGTTTTTACTGGTAAGTCTGTGTAAAAGTTGGGGAAATGATTTAAATCATCATATAAAAGCACAAACTAAAGAAAAGTAATGATATCAAATATGAAATTCTTACTCTACCACATAGAATTTTCATAAAGGATATATGTTTTCCAGACTATCATGCAATCCAGGGGAGCCACACTAGTAGATTATATCTCTAAAAAACTGCTGCAATAAAAAAAAAAACAAGATAAACAAACAGTTGCCTATTGTATCTATGCTTCTTTTTCTATGTCTGCTTC